TTGGAGTAAATATAGTCCATCCCTGGGGGGTATGCAGATTTTAGCAGGGGAGGGATCGTCTTTTGTGTTCTCCGCGTTTGTGCGTCGCATTTTAATGTGGATTTTTGGAGTTTAGGACTTTTTTGCGTGATTTATTAAATCCCACCTGATTGTAATTTGCTTTTATTGAATTCTATTTTTTTTTCTGCGCCCGTTTAGCTAAATTTTGCATAATTTCGATTGATTTTTGTGCCTTTTGGTTCGAGTTCTTGTATCTTTCCGGTGCATAGCTTTCTGGACTTTTTTTCTTCAAATGGAAAGATTGTAGAGAGAAGACTACTTCGTTTCTGTATCACTTATGTCCAAATTTAGCATGATATTGTTTTCTGGTTAAAGTTTTTTTAGTAAAAAAAAGTGCGTGTGAAAATGTGAAAAATGTATGAAAATTGCAGGTGGATGTTGAGCTTGACGGAGGAACCGAGCAATACAAAGAAATGGAAGAATATCTAGCCAGGTGAATTTCTTGTCACACACAAATTGCTCTGACTATTTGTTTAAAATGTTTGTGAAGTTAGTTGATCCTAAAATTTGTCTTATTTTTTCTTCGCTTCGTGTTCAGCTAGAAATAGAAATAGTAGATTAGAAGACATTTTACGTACAAAAAGACATTTTACGATGGAGCCTGTGTTTCATCCCTTAGTTTTTTGACTGGGCCATGGAAGCCCACCCAAAAAGCAGTTATTCCAAATAAGAATGTCAGGGTTTGGTAATAGATGAGGGGTGGTAATTTGTGGCTGTAGGTAGGCCGAAAAATAACAAAAAAGGTAGAGGACTGTAAAAACCGAAGGAAGTTCAGCAGAGTTGAATTCCGTATAGTTTTATAGAGTTTATACAGTTTTCAGATGTGATGCGGCTGACATGCCTAAAAACGATGTTGCGGACGTTGTGGAGCGGATGTGCGCAGCACTTGACAACAATCTCTCCGGCGAACCATTCGATTCACTGCCGGCAGAACTAGAACAATCGGCTTTTAAGGAAGTCAGGAGAATAGATGAAGCTGGAGATGAATGTATGGAAGAGTCGAAGTCCACTTATGAAATGAAAAATGAGCAGGCTGATGTTATACAAAATAGTGAGGTTAGCTGCGCAGAAGCTCCGAAGATGTCGCAGGTTTTAGCCGAACCAGCCCTATGCAGTGCCGATGTTGACACCCCGCGTGTCGAAGAAGTAAAAAGTGACAAGGAGCTGATCGGAGAAGGAGAAACAAACAAACCATCTGGTATGCATTTTAACACATTGACTGAAGTTTGCAAATGTAA